ACTCTGGATGGATCTCTTCAGTACAGAAACAGGACCTCTTGCTGGGCCAAGGACCTCACAGACAAATGGGCAGAATTGTGGGTACAGGGTCATGTGGAACAAAGAAGCCCCTGCAGCAGGAGTACTCACCACTGGCTCCCCAGACCCTCAGCCCCAAAGCATTCTGAGTTGGGGGATCCAAGGACCCCACAAATGGAAAGGAGTGCTTGGGGGCAAGATGGGATGGGGTAAATAGAGAAAGCCAGTCGATGCTACACGTCTTAAAGTTGCTTAGCATAAGTCATCAGCTTTTGCAGGACCTCCTGATCTGTTATTGCTTTTGGTTTTCTGTACTCTTGTCTTTGTTATTCTTCAATACCAAGTCCTCCCACTAGACCCCTCACCACTGAGAACCCCTATTCCTGTGAATTCTCATAATTCTGTAACATACTTCTTTCTACAACACTATACTGCCTCAATTTCTCCAATCAGCATTATGACTTGGAAGTCCAGTGTTCAAATCCCCAAGACTTTAGAGGATAAAATCAAAGTACCATACCCACATTCTCTTTAAACTTCCTCTCAACTCAATAACCCACCCACTTCAAATTACTTTCCCACACTCACATCTTTTTCTTACCGACCCCTTGCTGGACTATATTTCTGTCTGATGAATTCTGGGCAAGGGGAATTAATTGTTTCTGTGTGAGTCCAGCAAAGAACCTCGGCTTCAGAAAAAAGGTCCAAAGCAATGGTCATACAGATGATATTTGTTAAACTTAGTGGGTATCAAGGTCAAACAGCAGAGATAAACTATGTTCTCAAGTGACTCAGATGCATGTACTGAACACCTTCGGTACAGTGAGGATGAAGAAGGCAATAAAAAAAGTCAGGATCCTAACAAGTTTGCAACGAGTCTTTCTTTTTGAGAATAATTGGTATACCTGGAGAAGTCAAGCAGAGGTTCCATATGTACTTATTCACACACATGCTCTCCAATTTTTCTTAGATAAGGTCTTAGTCACTGTTCTATTGCTGTAAAAATCCACCCTGAACATGACAACTCTTATAAAAGAAAGCATTTACTCTATATCTTACAGTTTCCAAAGTTTAGTCCAGTATCATCACGGTGGGACAACATGGTGCTGGAGCAGTAACTGAGAGCTGTATCCTGATCTGTAGGCTGAGGGGAGGATTAAAACTGGCTCTGTCCTTGACGTTTGAAACCTCAAAACCCACCCCAGTGACACACTTCCTTCAACAATGCTGGATCTCCTAATTCTTCTAATGTTATCAAAGAGTTCTTCTCCTTTGTTACAAAGCATTAAATATATGAGCCTATATGGGACACTCTTATTGAACCACAACAGATAAACACACTGATATTTGGAGGAAGAAGTGAGGGCAGGCTTGTGGTACTGAATTGATTAGAGGGCATAGTGTCAAATCTGAAAACATGCTCCCCTGTTATATTTCTCTGAAAAAGAGCAAAAGCCTTAATGTGTTGTCAAATATGTTAGCCTAAAGTCCAAATTATATTCTATCATGGTTAGAAAGGTAGATTAAAAAAGGTACTATCTACCAAGAAGGACTTCAGGAAACATTCTCATACCCATAATCCTATATAAATACCGATTTCTACAGCCTCAGGAACTTCATAGGATTCTGATAGCCAACATTTAAAATCTGCAATCTCAGGGCGTTCTCATGATCTTGCACAAATAGCACTGTAGATTTGTATCCATCGAATGCTCAAACTACAAACCACATAAGGTGAAGAGCAGTTTCCAGGGGAGTCACACAAACACTTAGAGAGCCTCTTCTCACTCAAGACAAGGCACATAGATCTTGCCCAAGACAGATACCAGGTTAAGACATAAAGATTTTTACTTCTTACCACGAGCCTATCTATGAGTACTAACAATAATAATCCTCTGCTGGTTGGGCATTAATTGTAGGACTAAGGCAGCTGAGTTCACCCAGGAATGTACTTAGTGACTGGAGTGCATACAGAGTGACTATGAATGCAGTGCCATGTGACAAAAATTGCAGACAAGCATAGACCCGAGTTCTTGGGGATTTGCTTTAATTTTTTTGTTTTTAATCAAGATCCATATTGTTACTGCTGTGAGTCAATATCTGACTCATTACGGAAGGCTATTTGAGGCCATCAGTCGTCCTAGAGGCAAGTATATCACATAAAGCTCATTGCACCAGTAGATGGAAGCATGTGCTCCTTCTGAGACTGATGTTTGTGGGGCAAATGGTGACTAAATTCACAACAATGAGTGTTCATCTGTTAGTTCAAAAGAAACTTCCCAGCTGAGGCTATAGCTCAGGTAGAGCATTTTATTTGCATGCAAGAGGCTCTGAGTTCAAAGGAGGGAAAAATCTTACCGGTTATTCTCAGGCCAAGGAAATCATATACCCATGAGAAGACGGTACTGTGACATACTGGGGATGACTGGTTATAGGTATATGTGCAATGAAGGGAGTGGAGTGGTGTTGGTACTGTTAGGTTGTGGGACTATCTCTTTTGGAATGCATATAGTAAAATATTTGGGGTATACTGTGTTGTGTGCATTTACCTTAATACTCAACATATACAAATGCTAGATATAGCAAAATAGAAGTTATAAATATAGATTATGAAATGTTATTTATATCAGTACAAAGAGATATAATGTTGTTGTCTTTGTTTTGATTTTTATTAAGCTCCACATTTTTCTCTGCTCCCTTCACTGTCTCTACCCTCCTCCCTACAACACTCCCCCATGTTCCCAAATTACTCAGGTGATCTTGTCTTTTTTTTACTTCCCATAAAAGTTCTGGCTATGAAATGTTATATAGATAACATTTCGTAATCTATATTTATAACTTCTATTTTGCTATATCTAGCATTTGTATATGTTGAGTATTAAGGTAAATGCACACAACACAGATTAGATCTATGTAAGTCTCTCTTAGTGTCCTCATTGTTGTCTAAGTTCTCTTATATTGTTTTTTGTAGGCTACTTTTCTTTGATTTATGTTTAAACATCACCTATGCGTGAGTACATGTGATAATTTTCTTTCTGTGTCTGAGTTACCTCACTCAAAATAATGTTTTCATTCTCCATCCATTTTCCTGCAAAATTCAAGGTGTTATTTCTTTCTGCTGTGTAGTACTCCATTTTGTAAATGTACCACATTTTCCTTATCCATTATCCTTATTCTTATCCTCTTTGGAAAAGGGGCATTTAGATTGTTTCCAGGTTCTGGCTATGAAAGACAATGCTACTATGAACATAGTTGAGCAATGTTCTTGTGGCAATATTGAGCATCTTTGGAGATATCTCCAAAAGTTGTATTACTGGGTCTTGAGGAAGGTTGTTTCCTAATTTTCTGAGAAATCGCCACACTGATGTCCAAAAGGGCTGTACCAGCTTGCATTCCCACCAGCAAAGATGAAGTGTTTCCTTTTCCCCACAACCTCTCCAGCATAAGTTGTCATCAGTGATTTTGATCTTGGACATTCTTATGGTGTAAGATGGAATCTCAGATTTGTTTTGATTTGTGTTTCTCTGATGCCTAAGGATATTGAACATTTCCTCAAGTGTCTTCAGCCATTTTAGATTCCTCTGTTGAGAGTTTTCTGTTTAGGACTGTAGTCCATTTTTTTTATTGAATTATTTGTTCTTTTGTTGACGAATTTCTTGAGTTCTTTGTATATTTTGGATATCAGACATCTGTCTGATGTGGGGTTAGTGAAGATCTTTTCCCATTTTGTAGCCTGTCAATTTGTCTTGTTGACTGTGTCCTTTGCTTTACAGAAGCTTTCCCTTTCAGAAGGTCCCATTTATTAATTGTTTCTCTCAGTGTCTATGCTGCTGGGGTTATAGTTAGGAAGTGGTCTCTTGTGCCAATGCGTTCAAGTGTACTTCCTACTTTCTCTTCTATAAGGTTCAGTGTGGCTGGCTTTATTTTGGGGGACTTGAGTTTTGTGCGTGGTGATAGATATGGGTCTATTTTCATTCTTTTACATGTTGATATCCAGTTATGCTAGCACCACTTGTTAAATATGCTTTCTTTTTTCTATTTGATTTTTCTTGCTTCTTTGTCAAAAATCAGGTGTTCGAAGGTGTGTGGATTAATATCCAAATCTTCTATTTGGTTCCATTGGTCTTCCTGTCTGTTCTTATGCCAATACCAGGCTAAACTTGAGTGAACTGAGTTGTTTGAACTTCTGAATGTCTAAGTCACCATAATACCATGGACAATCTAAGGAGCGAAGTACTCACAGGAGGCTCCACATGAAAAATCTCAAACATAATATGCTAGTATTCAACCTGGCATGGGAAGTGAATGACATATAGACATGAAAAGATAACAGCCCTGATTCTATCAAGAAGAATTCTGCCCCACAAAACAAAACAGAGAGGAGTCAAGATGAACTCTGAAGGGTTTTCCTATAGAGATGGAAACTGATGATATTGCTAAGAAAAGAGGGAATTACAAGCAGGAGGCTGCTCTTAGGAGGAAACCCATACTCAGAACCAAGAGAACAGCTGTATTTCCTATCCCATTTTTGTGTGTTCTCTTCTCTGCCCATCCCCAAGATAAAACTCTACATGAGCCACAGTGAGTGGCTTACTGTTTTTTTTTTCTGTTGGTGTCTGCCTATATCACAAACCTGAATATTTATGAAGTATTCCCAAGCTGGTTAGATGAATGTCCATGATGAAGACCTCACAGCAGTGAGCACACAAATGGATGGAAAGCCTGAAGGAAAGCACATGATGCAACTGTGCAGGGCAATGACCTTCCATCAGTCCTCCTCCACTGGAAGGGGCCAATAAAACAAGGGAGGCTCCAGTTATGTTGGTAGCTACGATTGAGAACACACCAAGCATATGTTGAGTAGTATTGGGGGAAGTGAAATTTCTGTGAGAAGTGATTACAGAATCTGGAGTCTGTCCAAGTCAAATTACTAGCAAAATAAATGATAGTTGCTCTCATTTCCCTTTTCTGTGTGGATGTGACTTTTCAACAAACTGATTGGAAATGCTCAGTTTCCCAAACTCAACCACCTTCATAAGCACAGTTGGAGTTACTGAGAAGAGATACCATGATTTTCACTGCCATAGCCATGCTCTGTCTGGGTGAGATATGAAGAGGGGAAGGAGATTGTATTGTTTGGAACTTGATTGGGTGTATAGCCCAGCACTGACTGGACTTCTGGAAATCCCAGAAAACTCAGGGGCTCTTGGCATGGGAGAGTCTGCTCAGTGAGGGATAAAACTCACAGGGAACTCTCTTTCAGGACTGACTCTGGGATTCAGGTCTCCAGTGTTGGCAGGTGAGTGTTCTCTGCTGTCTCAGATCTTTGCACCTCACTTGAAAGCAGGGGCTAGCTAAAAGCTGAGCAATGGAATGGAGAACAGCAAAGATGAGCTAGTGCTGCAGAAACCAGGTGGGTGCTGAGACTGAACAATGAGATCTGTGTGTGGGGGGATCTAGGATTGAACCTCTGATTTCCTTGCAAGGGTCCATCCCCAAGCTATCTTCAGGTTCAGCCAAGCTTTGTGGTCCTCAGAGATATGAAGATGACTGTCTAATGTGCGGAGACATCAAGGGCTCACAAGTACCATATATATGAAAAGAGATGCCCCAATCTCTGGCATAAACAAACTCCACTAGAGTTTAGGAACTAGACTTTGTTCCTCGATCAAATAGTATCATTGAGGGTTATAAGCTGTTATTATAAAAAACCTTGAAGATTTACCAGAGCACAGTGACCTTCCTGCAGCTGGTGGTGTTACAGAAGGTTATATTTAGGACCTCAAGTTTCAGGCTCTAATCATAGGAAAAGAGTGTTCCCCTTACATCTCACATCTTACTGAGATGTCCATTAACATATTCTCTCCATCTCTTCTAGGAGATCCCTACAGCAAACCCAGATTGTCAGCCCTTGACAGCCACGTTGTGAATGCAGGAGGGAATGTGACCCTTCAATGTATCTCATGGCAGAAATACGATGGGTTTATTTTGATCAAGGAAGGAGAACCCAAGTTCTCCAGAACCCTGGACTCACACTATATTTTCACTGGGCATTTACAAGCTATGTTTTCTTTGGGTCCTATGACCTCCAGGAATATGGGGACATTCAGATGTTATGGCTTCTACAAAAGAGATCCACAAAAGTTGTCTATGCCTAGTGACCCCCTGGAAGTACACATATCAGGTGAGTCAACTCCATCAATGAATCATTTATCGAGACTCCAAACTATATGCCAGGAGTCCTGCTGTCAAGGCAATGGTTTGCTAAGCAGTGTTTCTGGCTCCCAAGTAAGATTACCAGAGTGTTAAGTTCAGTAGCACTTCAAGGGAAGAATGGGAGTTGGCAGATTATTTGGCAATACCACCTCAACCCCAATGTCACATTCCTCAAGATCTGCCTAGTAGTCACTGTCTTCTGTAAGAACCTTACCCTCTTGTATTCCTTGGGCATTATCAATGATGGAACCATTCTATTCCTTGAAGTTAGATGGGAATTCTCCCAGTGCCTTGTCCTCCAGTCCTCTGTTGGTTTCTCTTAGGTTGATTTCTTCAGAATCTTTTAGCTTCCCCATAGGGGCTATTACAGAAACTCAGGGTCACATGTCCATTTCCCCAAGTTGTCTGCTCCAGTTACTTACTGGACTTCTTGCCTGCATACAAAGAGCTCACCACATTTAACCAGAAACCCAAAATTTTCACATACTTTGTGAAGAGTCCCGAAGAGGTTACAGGTGTTGCAATGGATGTGACTTTCAAAAAGCAAGAGAGATGGAGATAGGGAATGGAATAAAAGAAATAGGTCAGAGAAAATAAGGAGACAAAATATTCATATTTCATTCATGATTAAATCTCAGGTCAGAATAAGGGCAAACCCTCCCCCATCCTACACCAGGAGAACTCTTTGTCACAATCCTGATCTCAGAAAATCAAATAATACTGCTCTGCTAATCACAGAACCTGAATAGTTCTCTCCTTATGTTGAAATCCCAACATGTCTAAGACCCCAAAACATAGCTCAGTCTGACCAGACAGAATTCTCTGTGAGTGCTGTGCACTCTAGACCTGCATATGTTATGAGTCTCAAGGATCTTCTTCATATATCACATTACACACTAGCGACCCATGGTTCTTACAGTCTCTGACCTAACATTTCTGAACTTAACTTTTCACTTATTGTCTATCCCAGAGAACTTTTAGCCTGGAAGGAAATGAGAGGGCATACAGAATCAGCAACAGGGATATCCACCATACCCTACCCCACTTCAATGCCTCCTTGGGTGTTTCTACTCTATTTTCCTTGTTATACTTGCATATTGTTTCTCTCTTTTAGAAATTTATAAATGTGAACTTTTTTGATAACTTTGAAATTTTTCCAAAGCAGTAAAAAACAAGAAATATTTTTTTCTAACACTTCCACAACAGTAAGCTCCTCCTTGAAGGCTTTTTCCTTCTCAGGAAATTGAGAGGCCATTGGAATGTTTTTTTACAGAAGAGCAAATCAAAAAGCCCTGAACATCTAAAAAGGACATTATATAGACCTAATGGTTTATATATGTATATGTGTGTGTGCATTTATGTATTTTGTGTTTGTGTGTGAACATCTAAAAAATAGGTCATGATTTGAAAGAGAGTAAAGAGTTGAACATAGAGAATTTGAAAGAAAAAAGGGAAGGAAGAAAGGATATAGCTATATTATGACCTCAAAATTTTTTTAACAAGCCTACACTAAGCCTAGATTTAGAGAGTAATCAATTACTGACTTTACAGATAGTTCAGATTGTCATGTTTCCTTCCAGCATCAGAGATATGAACTGGCTACTATTCTCTGACCAGTATTATAGTCCAGAAATTTTGATCCTTTTTAAAAACTAGTTGTAGATTCTGAGGGCACAGTCTAGCTCCAATAATCTCTAACCCTACTAACATAGAACTATCTACCTAGCAAAAAACTATTGGCCCAGCCATGTACAAATTAGTCTTGGTGAATTTTTTTTGAAAGAGGCGAGGATTGAAAAGATGGCTCAGCATTTTAGAACACAGGATGTTCTTCCAGAGACCAAGGTTTAATTCTCAGCACCAACATGGTAACTTATAACCATCCATGACTCCAGTTCCAGGAGATTCAATATCCACTTCTGTACTTTATGGGTACCAGGCATTCACGTGGTGCACATACATACATACATACATACATACTGATAAGACATTTGTATACATAAATTAAAAAATATTTTGAAGAGGATGTGAAGTTGGGAGGGGATTGAGGGTGGATCTGGGATTTAGGAGAAATAATGGGAAGTGAAGGTGATCCAAATATATTGTATGCATGCATGACATTCTGAACAAACAAAATGTATGTCTGCAGGTCCTTTTCAAAAACAAAATATACTGTATGTATGCATGACATTATCTAAAAACAAGATATATTGTATGTAAGCAAGGTTATAATTTTCCTAGCCTTCTCAATCAGCACTCTGTCCCTTTAAGGGACAAGCTCCACTCATTCCCAATCTCTCTCTTCTCCAGGTAAGCTGGCCTCCACTCTCTTCTGTTTCTCTTCACCTCCATTCTTCTGAAGAGGCAGCTTTCTGTCTCTTACCCCTTCCCTTATTTTTCTCCTCTCCCCCCTCTGTCCTCTATTACTGTCTTTCTTTCTCTCTTCTTGCCCTCATACTCCTTGTCCTCCGTTCCCTTCCCAGTACTCACTAAATAAACTCTCCATACCCCTGCAAAAAACTATTGCCCTAGCAAAATAGGATTATATAGTATAATATGGGTTAATTCAGAAGTAACTCAAGAAGTTTCGTTTTGTTCACTTGTGGCTAGATTACTAGACTATTTACCTGCAGATTTATGACAGTATATGAGAGGGGAACTTGATCTTCAGAAGCTCTCATTTCTGTTCTTTGAACTAAAGTAAGTGAAACTTCTAGAGATAGAGAATATTTTACTTAAAAAATGACAGAATCAGGATTCACATCAAAGGAAATTTCCACACAATAACAATTTGATGGACCATTTTATTATTGACTTTAGTGTTCAAATGAGGCTTGCATTTTTTTTTTGCTATCAATTTTTCTACAAATAACTACCTGGTGTAGGAGGTCTTCTGTCTATGTGTTTCTTTTATTGGTTAATGAATAAAGAAACTACCTTGGCCTGTTGATAGGGCAGAGTAAAACTATACTGAATGCTGGGAGAAAGAAAGCAGAGTCAAGAAAAGCTATGTAATCCTGCCAAAACTTTATCTGGTAAGCCACAGCCTCATGGCAATACACAGATTAATGAAGATGGGTTAATTTAATATATAAATTAGATAGAAATATGCTTAAGCTATTGGTCAAACAGTATTGAAATTAATATTGTTTCTGTGTGATTATTTCAGGGCTGAGCAGCTGAGTGGCTTTCCTACTATAACCACCTTCTAAGAGAAATCCAAGGATAAAAAGATAAATTTTTTCCTTTCCTTATCACACAATTAATTTTTATTTGACTTAATATATAATACAGAACACAGACTGGGGGGCTGGAGAGATGTCTCAGTGGTTAAGAGCATTGCCTGCTCTTCCAAAGGTCCTGAGTTCAATTCCCAGCAACCACATGGTGGCTCACAACCATCTGTAAAGAGGTCTGGCGCCCTCTTCTGGCCATCAGGCATACACAGACAGAATATTGTATACATAATAAATAAATAAATAAATATTTTAAAAAAAAGAACACAGACTGGTCATTTCTTAAAGTTTTTTTTAAATAAATTGATATATATTTTTAAACTACCTTTTTTTCATGTTACCTACCAATCCCAGTTCCCATCCCTCCCCTCCTCTACCACCCTCCACATTTCACCCAACCACTCTTCCTATCGACTCTTCAAAGAGGGTACGGTTTCCCATGGGAAGTCAACAAAGTCCAGCACATTGCTTTGAGGCAGGACCAAGGCGCTCCCCACTACATCTAGGGTGATCAAGGTATCCCTCCAAATAGAATAGGTTCTAAAAATGTAGCACAAGCAGTAGGGATGAATCCTGGTCTCACTGCTAGTGACCCCAGTTTTCCCCAAGCATACAACTGTCACTCACATTCAGAGGGCCTATGCTGGTTCCCAGCTGTAAGGTCAGAATTAGCTCAGGTAAGCTGAATCAGTGGATATCCCCATCATGGTCTTGACCTTTTTCTCCATATTATCATTCCTCCTTCTCTTCGACTGAATTTTGGGAACTCAACTCAGTGTTCTACTGTGAATCGTTGCATCTGCTTCCATCAGTTGCTGGATCAAGGTTTTATGATGACATTTAAGATAGTCATCAGTCTGACTACAGGGCAAGGCCAGTTCAGGCACCCTTTCTATAATTGCTTAGAGTCTTAGCTGGGGTCATTCTTGTAGAAATTTGTGAATTTTTCTAGTGCCTGGTTTCTTGCTAGCCCCATAATGTGTCCCTCAATTAAGATATCTCTTTTATTGCTCTCATCTCTGTCCTTCCCCTATCTTGACCATCCTTTCCCCCCAAGTTCTCCTTTCCCTTTCTTTTTCCCCTTCTCCCACAACTTCCACTTTTTCAATTTTCTCAGGAGATCTTATCTACTTCCCCTTCCTAGGGGGATCCATATGTGCTTTTCTTATGACCTCATTACCTATATTCTCTGAGTTCATGAACTATAGGCTCATTATCCTTTCCTTTATGTCTAATATTCACTTACTAGTGAGTACATACTGTGCTATCTTTTTGGGTCTGGGTTTCTTCACTCAGGATGGTCTTTTTTAGTTCCATCCAATTGCATGCAAATTTCAAAATGTCATTTTTTTACCACTGAGTAGTACTCAATTGTATAAATGTACCACATTTTCTTTATCCATTCTTCAGTTGAAGGGCATCTAGGTTGTGTCCAGGTTCTCACTATTATGAACAATGCTGTTTTGAACATGAGTAAATGTCCTATAGTATGATTGACATTCTTTGGGCATATTCCCAAATACATAGTTGGTTTTGAGGTAGGTTGATTCCCAGTTTTCATCATTCTATACTCCATTGATGTGGGAGTGATTTCTTATTAATAAAGAAACTGTCTAGGCCCATTTGATAGGCCAACCCTTAGGTAGGCGGAGTAAACAGAATAGGATGCTGGGAGAAAGAAGCTGAGTGGAGAGTTGCCATGATTCTCCCACTCCAGACAGATGCAGGTTAA